ATTTGGTACCGAAAATTTCTCTTTCATAACGGAATAACGTATTTCTTCCAGGTCGAACTTACTGGCATAGAAATTGTATCGATCTAACAGACGATTGACGAACTGCCTAAACGCTATTCGATCGGCGTTCTCGCGGTAGGTGAGATTGTATTTTATATCTTTTAGGTATTCCATACCTTCCGAAAAGTACACATCCCGAAAAATCCTCCGAACCAATGATAGCGGAATCCGTAACAGTGCAATGACATCATTTTGCATTTTTTCCTGATCACTAGGTGGGCTGACCGATTTGACCCGCTCGAATACAATGTACCACGTCATCTGCAAGTAGTGGCAATGCAACAGAAGAGAATAGTAGGTGACCGCCAGAACGAGCTTCCGTACGCTGTCCGTGTATCTCTGTATAGAGTAAAAGTCGGATTTCCATATCAGAGCGACTTTTTCATAAATCGTCCGCAAATGCTTGTGGTCGTATGACGGAAACCAACTGTCAGGTGGAGCAAAATTATTGTAGTTTCGGTTGTGGTCCCATATAAACTGGTAAATTTCGAACTGATCATCGCCCCAGTATAAATCCGCCATGAATCGTCGGTGACCTTCGGACAACATTAATTGAGAGCCCAGTTGGCGGTTATATGAGGCGAAATTTAACCTTCCTGCATATTGGTCGAAGACGTTATTTTTACTCGACAATTGGTCATTTACGCATCTCTGCGTTAAAGGTCCAATCAACGAAGCGGCCATCCCCTTAAAGTTTATTTTGCCAAAACCGAGTTTGTATTGTACGACAGAGTCCAACGTTATAGCTACGTACCACGTTTCCCGGTACGCAAAACTGTCAGCTAAGTAGAGAACCTGGAGCATGTGATGCATGATTTTTCTGTAATAATGTAATAACGTCTGATCGATAGATTGACTCTTACTCTGCATGTCGATCATATGGTACAACACATAGAGCGTGACGTGACCATATGTACAGCTCAGCGACAACAGTTTGCTTAGGTAGCTGACAGGTTTGGCCCGATTCATTCCGTGTTGTACCAATTTCAGCATGGCGTTGATATCCGATTTAGGAACCTGATTGAAATTCTGTTCCAGTGTAGGGATTCTGTTGACGGTCTGTAAGAATTTTATCTGCAATTCCTTGCGCTGGAATGTCAAAAAAACAAAAGAAATGGGTAATTTTACTGAAAGTGTTAAACTTGTGTCCATGGAAAATCATGGGGATAACATATTTTTTGGCTTATTTCATAAATTGTCCCATTCGGATTTTATGGTTTATTCATATCAAACCAATTTGCCAATGAAAATCTTTAATGTATTATGATAACAAAAGTAAAAATAAATCAACAGATAGCCAATTCTTCTCAAACCGGACTTGTCTCAAAATCTAAGACTGTCCCTTGGTCCAATTCTAGTCCTATTTAGAACTGGTTTTAACTGATTCTGTGGATTGGTTGGTTTCAGTTAATGACATCCAACTAGAGTTCAATAACATTTTGGAAACAATTGAAATATTATTAATATTTCGTTCTTCGAACATACAAATGTTTTAAACCCGTTAGTGATTGTCCTGGCAATCAACTGATGATACTAAATCCTGCCGCTACGGTTTAATATACAAACCGCACAACCAAAGTAAATTATTAGTGATTTTCGGTAACAAAAAAGTAATCATAAACATACGAATTTATTTACTTCCCATTTCACTCTTTCTTCTAGAACTTAGTCCTCAAATTGATTTTGTTAACTATAGTTTTTGTTACTGAAAATTTGAATGCAAGTAGTATTTTCCAATAATGATAACTATTAGGGAATATGGACAGATGTTTTTGCATTTGTGTAAGTTTAAAAATACTGTCAAATAGTATCTGATGGATCTCGTCGCATTTATTGTTTACGTTTTGAGAACTTGGTAAAAACAACACTACAATAACAAACTTTAAATAAAACATTGCAGTTTAGTACGTTTAAACTGATTTGAACCTACGATAGCTTTTAACCTCCAACAATACCTAACAACGACATCAGATGTTTTTTTGGCAAACAATACGTGAATAACGTAAAAAAAAGAACACAGTATTTGTTAAATATTTTTGTAATTACAATGCACAACGATGTTTTAAATATCAACAAGCTTTTTCGGCAAAACTTGCCATTGTTTTTAACTGTTTTATAACAAATGTGCTTAGGTATCTTATTGTTGTTCATTTTTTTTGCATATTTTTTCCAATTCTTTAGTTATTTTCTCTATCTACAAATCTCCATTTTTTTATTCACTTCACACACACATCACACACACACACACACATGTATATTTATACATATATATTAATAATATTCATCTAAATAGCTATGTATTTCTTGGTGCTTATAAAAAAACCCTCGAGCGTTATATGTTTATGAAACAGATGATTAGTTTTGGCAAGTACCTGCTTGACCGCCAAATTCTTGTTTAGGTTATATATCATATTGTTTTTATTATGTTATGATGATTTAGTTGGGATGGAAAAATATTGCCCAGGCTACATTACATATCTTAAATACTATCAGTAAAAACTATTACTACTTCATTCCCTTGGAATTGGTTTAATTAGTGTATTTTAAATGTGTATTAGTTACATTTTTTTTTTTAGACAATTTCAATTCTTAAGGTTTTCTTTGAAAATTTGAGTCCAGAAACTCGAAGTCAAAGTTAAATGGTCACTAAAATACTGTCAAATAATACCTGAAGCATTTCGTCACAACTATTGTTTATAATTTTCGTACTTGCCAAAAACAACACTAAAATATCAAACTTTAAATAAAACATTATTTTGTTGTTGTAAAATATAATATTAATACAATATTTGTAACTCAAGTGTTACATTTAACTCGACTCGCAGCTACAATAGGCTTTATCTACCAACAATACCTAGCCGCGACATCAGGTGTTTATTTTGCAAACAACGTCATAGTTAAGATAAATAACCCAATATTTGTTCATAATTTTTGTAAATGCAATCTACAAAGATATCTTAAAATATATCGCCAAACTTTTGCGGCAAAACTTGCCATTGTTTTTAACTATATTTTAACACTGTATCTGAATGCTGTTTATTTTTAGCTTCGGTGCAAAGCTGAGAAGGTATTGTATTTACAATGATGTGTTTTTATTTTTATTTTTTTATTTTGTGTCTGGACCCACGATATCTCGTAAACCTCAGAACTGATTTCTTCGTGTAGCAGCTCTATAGATCAGAAATCATACCCTGATGGCACTTTATCGGGCCAAAAATAAAAAATAATCACCCTTTCCCCATCAAAATCGAGAAAAACACCTAAAAAATTTACAAATTTTTCATCTTAAAATTACGATGCTCTATAACTTTTTTAAAAATAGTCGAAAATGTTCCAAATTTTCATGAATTGTTCTTCAAACATAGTACTATCGATAAACATTAACAAACCAAAAAAATATCATAAACCCTTTCCCTTAGAAGGGATAGAATCGTTTTCTTTATTTCACTTTTTCAAGCAAAGTTTTAGAGATTTAGATCTGAAAATTAGACCGAAGGTAGATCTAAAATGGAACTATAACATATACAGTTTTCTTAAAAATCTATAGTCAATTTTTTTGTATTAAGGAAAACCCCCAAAAATATGGTAAATTTACACTTTGGCCGTAGTCAGTTTCTAGGTTGCTATGTGTGTGTGAATCAACAAACAACAGGTAATGAAAATATTTTCATTATATTGTTAATTACGATATATGGGTAACTATGACAGTACATTTTTCTAGACAGACGATCAACCCTTATCGTATTCACCCTGCACAAGACTAAATATTAATATATATATTAATTTTCTTGTAAATTTTACAAAACCGTCATCGTCATTAATAAAACAAATGATACATTTTGACAAGTAGCTACTTGACCGTCAGATTCTTGTTTAGGCTATAATACATTTTATTTTATCCTATCTTAAAGACCTATCATGGTATAACTGAGCTGCTCGTTTCCAAAACGAATTATCTAAAATTTATAAATTTTCATGAGATTAAAGAAAAATATATTCAAGACAATTATAGCTGTCACAGGGTTAAATGTGGTAGGTAATTTTAAACGAATTGGGAAAATGTAAAGTATATTTTTTTAAGTAAATGATTGATAATTTTCAGTTTGAACTCAATAAGTTCAATTATAAAATGTTAAAATACCTAGTATATAATTTAAAAAATTATGAATATTAATAGGTATACGAGGTACCTTGCTAAGGTTAGGATAAGCTATTCTTAACTGGCAATTATTCCATTAGCTTAGTCTTAATTGTCAATCCATAAAAACGCTGTCATCTATTAACCCTATCAGCAACCCAGAATGAACCTCACCTTCACTTAGCCTATCCTAATGGGAAATTAGCCCCATCATCGGTGTCGTTGTTGGTGCACAGCTGATGCGGTTCTCACAAGCAGCGATCGTCGCCCAGCGGTTTGAAAATTTTGGCCAATCAATGTCACAAAATCTAACAAGCGTGTGCAGCTGAGAATACTGCTGACTGATATGTTTTTTTGGAATATCTATTTAAGAATAGTAGTAAGATGTTCTAAGTTTGTATTCTATCAATAACTAATCAAAAATAACCTCCGCATAAAAGCAGAGAGGTTATATTATTATGATGAATACGGAGGACATTGAATGGAATCTATGGAATTGGACAGCGACCCCAATGAGCAGCGAAAGATGAAAGGTGGAAGAATAAAATATTTATACATTTTTTTTAAAATAAAATGACCATATCAGATACAACATATATATTATAACTGGAAACGTTTAGTTACAGTTAACATATTAGAATTTTATAGAAAAACCTACTAAGCTATTTAAAAGTTAATTAACTTTATCAAAAAAAAAACTTAAAATAATTAAAATTAAATTAAATGACTTTCTAGACTAGATAAAAAATTATATTACAAAAAACAAACTTTAAATCATATTGGTAGAAAGTGACTTCAAATTTTAGTCTTTACTTTCATGAAATATGGAGCTTTCCGTTTGCTTAAACAATTGCCTTTTAGTCTTTCGTTTGTCGTAATTGTATGTTATGGTACTATGCAGTTGATTCGGGTCTTGTGATTTCTCGAAATTAATACCATCCGGTTTGGAGTAGGCAAAATATTCGATAGCGCGAAAAGTGGTTGGTAAAAATGTTCTTTTGACGGTTTCATAATAAGCGTTCAGTATTTGGACAATTTCCAATAGTTTGCTTATCAAGACAGCCGATTCCATATGGCCTGGCACCGAAAACTTCTTCGTCATCATGGAATAATCCATTTGTTTCAAGTCTAATTGTGTGGTGTAGAAATTATATCGTACCAACAGACGATTAATGAAAGCGTTAAACGAAGTCCGGTCGGTGTTGTCGCTAACGGCAAGGTAATTTTCTATTTCTCCGACGAGACAACTGTTGTCTTCGAGGATATTTAAATCACGATAAATGACCTTGACCAGAGGTAAAGGAATTCGCCCCCACGCCTTGAAATCGTCGGATTTAACCGGCTCTGTTATGCTTGACCGTGTAGATTCCAAATAGTGAAAGTGCAAAAGCAAAGCATAATACGTGACCATCATAACAAGATTAATGACGGCCTCTTTGTACCGGATTATGATATAAAAGCAGCGTTCCCAATTAAACGCAACGTCTTCATTGACTGTCCTCAAATGCTTGTCGTCGTACAACGGAAACCAGCTAACCGGAGGAGCCAAGTTCGTGTAGTTGCCATCGGCATCCCAAAAGAATTTGAAAATGTCGAATCGTTCTTCACTGTAGTACAGGTTCATCATAAAGTCTTCGCTGCCATCAGACAACATCAATTTGGCCAAGAGCTGGTCGTTGTAGGTTGCTAAATCGTATGATCCTTTTTCGACCAACTCATTGTAGGTTGGAATAAGGTTAGTTATTAGGTTTTCATTGTAGCATTTTTTTATGGCGACTATAATGTTCAACACTAATTTGTCGAACCTAAAATCATTCATACCCATTTTACCATGTCTAATGGCGTCCAAAGTAATTACTGCGATCCACAACTCTCGGTATATTAAGCTCTTCGACGCGTACATGACCGACACAAAGCGGTGCGCGCATTTTATGTATCTAAGCAAGTAAAAATGTTTTTCTTCGTCCATTCTTTCGTTCCGGTATAAATCGTTTATGTGATACAACATATTTAGAAAGACATACCCGTACGAGCAATTTAACACTTTTACTTTTCTTCGATAACTAGGGGGTATCAAGGAAATCATCAAATCTTCTTTTTTTGCGCCTTTTGTCATAGCGTCTAATTCGGAAATCTTCATTTCCTTTGGATTTTTATCCAACGTGGGGATTCTATTCAATATCCTCAAAAAATGCATATGCGTTTCCCAGTCCTAAAAATGACAGAAAAACATCAGTGTAAATAAATAGTTCTTATCGTTAGTTTTTTTTTTTAAATTGAATTTTGTCATTGATTCTTAACTCTGTAAATGTTCTACCTAATGATTTTTTGAAAAGTATATCGACAATCTAAATAAATTGAGATACGATTGGCGATCGTTATCAAAAGTAAAAAAAAGTGGCACCTCCCAAATTATTAATTGTGAAATGTAAATGATGAAGTATTGAAACAATGTAGGAATCAAGTTTACAAGCTTAAACCAATTTTTGAGTCTGAGAAGTAATGCGTATTAGTTTTAATTGTATTTAAAACATAATTCTCCAGCCTTATATCAAAAGTAATCTAAATTCGACGATAAGCATTTAGAGGAGTTATCCAGACATTCTGCGTGAAAGAAAAGGTGACATTTATAAGCAAATTACCACGTTACTTTTGATAAATTACAATACGTCGTTTGAATGTTATTAAAAATAAATTTTCAACATTCTTATTTACATTTATGCTCTGAAAATTAGATCGATACAAACGAGAGCAATGAGAGATGCTATACCAGACATTTACAGAAGCTCTTCAATAGTATAGTTTTATTTAGCAAGCTTTAGGTTTTTAGAATGTATGGTACCAGGTGATAATTGGTCATTACACAGCGAGTTTTTTTAACTTGAAAAACCGACGTAGCAAAAATCTATCTTCAAAATACGTTTAAGATAGTCGTATCTATTACCTAGTAAACCCGTGAATTATAATAACGTAGTTGTTAGGTTATAATATATGTGGTCATAATTTCTTTTAATGTTTGTAAGTGCAGTTTTATAAAAAAATTGTCATAACTTATAAATTTGCTGATGTCGTTAAATTTTTATTACCTGCTCATGTTCGATTACAGTTATATTTGTTGTACAGCTAATTTTTGAAATAACAGTAGTAGGTTTGGTTAAAGAGGGATTCGGGTCTTGCGGCGTCTTCAAATTGACAAATACCGGTTTTGTAGCCGTAAAATATTCGATTACGTGAAAACTCGTTGGCGATAAAGTCCGTTTGACGGTTTCGTAATAGCTGTCCAGTATTTTAGTAAATTCCAGTAGTGTTGTCTTTAAGAGGTACAAGTCCATTTGGTTTGGTACTAAAAACTTCACTTTAATTACGGAATAATCATTTAGTTTCGCCTCAAAATGTTCGGCGTAGAAATTGTATCGATGCAACAGTCGATCGATGAACTGATTGAACGCTTTTCGATCGGCGTTCTCGTGGTATGTGAGATTGTATTTTATATCATTCAAGTATTCTGTTTCTTCCGAAAAGTGCAAATTCTGCATAATTGTCTCGACTAAAAATAACGGAATCCGCAGCAGCGCAGTTATGTCGGTCTCCATTTCTTTTTGTTTACTAGGTGGGCTGAACGATTTGACCCGCTCGAATACAATGTACCACGTCATCTGCAAGTAATGACAATGCAACAGAAGAGCGTAGTACGTAACCATCAGAACAAGGTTTCGTACACTGTCCGTGTATCTCTGTATAGAGTAAAAGTCGGATTTCCATATCAGAGCGACTTTTTCATAAATCGTCCGCAAATGCTTGTGGTCGTATGACGGAAACCAACTGTCAGGTGGAGCAAAATTCGTATAGTCTCGATTATTGTCCCAAATTAGCTGGTAAATTTCAAATTGATCATCTCCACGATATAGATCTGCCATGAATATTGGGTGGCCTTCGGACAACATCAGTTGGGTGCCCAGCTGGCGGTTATAAGAGACGAAATCGAACTTTCCTGCAAATTGGGCGAGCAGGTCAATCTTACTTGATAGTTGATCAGTCATGCATCTATGCGTCAAAGGACCAATCAATGAAGCGGTCATTCCCGTAAATTTTATATTACCCAAACTGTGTTTATTTCGTATGACAGCGTCCAACGTTATCGCTACGTACCACATTTCCCGGTACGTAAAACTGTCGGCTAAGTACAGTACCTGGAGCATGTGATGCATGCAATTCTTGTAATGATATAATAACGTCTGATCGATAGATTGACCCTTACTCTGCATGTCGATTAAATGGTACAATACATAGAGCGTGACGTGACCATATGTGCAACTCAGCGACCACACTTTCTTCAGGTAGCTCACAGGCTTGGCCCCATTCATATCATGTTCTACCAAGCTTAGCATGGCACTAATATCTGATTCGGGAACCTGATTGAAGTTCTGTTCCAGTGTAGGGATTCTGTTGACGGTCTGTAAGAATTTTATCTGCAATTCCTTGCGCTGGAACGTCAAAAAATAAAATAAATGGGTAAATTTACTGAAAGTGTTAAACTTGTGTCCATGGAAAATCATGGGGATAACATATTTTTTGGCTTATTTCATAAATTATCCCATTCGGATTTTATGGTTTATTCATATCAAACCAATTTACCAATGAAAATCTTTAATGTATTATGATAACAAAAGTAAAAATAAATCAACAGATAGCCAATTCTTCGCAAACCGGACTTGTCTCAAAATCTAAGGCTGTCCCTTGGTCCTATTCTAGTCATTTTTAGAACTGATTCTGATTCTGTGGATTAGTTTGTTTCAGTTAATGACGTCCAAAATAGAGTTCATTAACATTTTGGAAACAATTGAAATATTATTAATATTTCATTCTTGGAACATACAAATATTAGAGCCTATTAGCAATTGTTCCTATAACCAATTGATGAATTTAAATCCACTCGCTACGGATTAGTATTCAAATTGCACAACCAAAGTTCATTAATTGTTAATACTGGTAACAAAAAAGTAATCATAAACATTCGAATTTATTCACCTCCCTTTCACTCTTTCTTATAAAACTTAGTCCTTAAATTTATTTTTTTATCTATAATTTTTGTACTAAAAATTTGAATGCAAATAGTATTTTCCAGTATTAAGATGAAAGTTATTTGGGTATATTGACAGATGTTTTTGCTTTTGGGTATAATATCTGATGGATCTCGTCACATTTATTGTATACGATTTGCGTACTTGCCAAGAACCACACTACAATAAAAAACTTTAAATAAAAAATTGCTTTTGTATAATCGAATATTTATACAAAATTCTTAGCTAAAGTGTCACGTTTAACCTGATTCGCACCTACGATAGTTTTTATCCACCAACAATACCTATCAACGACATCAGATGTTTTTTTGGCAAACAATATAACGTGAAAAAAAGAACACATTATTCGTTAAATATTTTTGTAATTACAATTCACAACGATGTCTTAAATTATAACAAGCTTTTTCTGCAAAACATGCCATTGTTTTTAACTGTATTATAACAATTGTGCTTAGGTATCTTATTGTTGTTCATTTTTTTTGCATATTTTTTCCAATTCTGTAGTTATTTTCTCTATCTACAAATCTCCATTTTTTTATTCACTTTACACACACACACACACACACATGTATATTTATACATTTATATTAATAATATTCTTCTAAATAGCTATGTATTTCTTGGTGCCTATAAAAAAACCCTCGAGCGTTACATGTTTATGAAACAGTTGATCAGTTTTGGCAAGTACCTGCTTGACCGCCAGATTCTTGTTTAGGTTATAAATCATATTGTTTTTTATTATGTTATGATGATTTAGTTGGGATGGAAAAATATTGCCCAGGCTACATTACATATCTTAAATACTATCAGTAAAAACTATTACTACTTCATTCCCTTGGAATTGGTTTAATTAGTGTATTTTAAATGTGTATAAGTTACATTTTTTTTTTTAGACAATTTCAATTCTTAAGTTTTTCTTTGAAAACTTGAGTCCAGAAACTCGAAGTCAAAGTTAAATGGTCACTAAAATACTGTCAAATAATACCTGAAGCATTTCGTCACAACTATTGTTTATAATTTTCGTACTTGCCAAAAACAACACTAAAATATCAAACTTTAAATAAAACATTATTTTGTTGTTGTAAAATATAATATTAATACAATATTTGTAACTCAAGTGTTACATTTAACTCGACTCGCAGCTACAATAGGCTTTATCTACCAACAATACCTAGCCGCGACATCAGGTGTTTATTTTGCAAACATCGTCATAGTTAAGATAAATAACCCAATATTTGTTCATAATTTTTGTAAATACAATCTACAAAGATGTCTTAAAATATATCGCCAAACTTTTGCGGCAAAACTTGCCATTGTATTTAACTATATTTTAACACTGTATCTGAATGCTGTTTATTTTTAGCTTCGGTGCAAAGCTGAGAAGGTATTGTATTTACAATGATGTGTTTTTATTTTAATTTTTTTATTTTGTGTCTGGACCCACGATATCTCGTAAACCTCAGAACTGATTTCTTCGTGTAGCAGCTCTATAAATCAGAAATCATACCTTGATTGTACTTTATCGGGCCAAAAATTAAAAAACTTCACCCTTTCCAAATTTACAAATTTTTCATCTTAAAATTAAAACACATTATTTGTTAAATATTTTTGTAATTACAATTCACAACGATGTCTTAAATTATAACAAGCTTTTTCTGCAAAACTTGCCATTGTTTTTACTTGTATTTTAACAATTGTGCTTAGGTATCTTATTATTGCTTATTTTTTTGGCCTATTTTTTCCAAATATTAGTTATATTTTTCTCCTTTTTTGATTAGAAAAAAAATAGTATTCACTTAAACAGTTCTCTCTATCTACAAATCTCCATTTTTTTTTACTTCACACACACATGTATTTATATATATATATATATTTTAATATTCTTGTAAATGTTTGTTAAATGTCTATGTATTTCTTGGTGCCTATAAAAAAATCTTTGGGCGTCATCTGTTTATGAAACAGATGATCAATTTTGACAATTGGAATTCGAATTGGGTTAAATAGTGTATTTTAAATGTGTATAAGTTACATTTCTTTAGACAATTTCAATACTTAAGTTTTTCTATGAAAACTTGAGTCCAGAAACTCGAAGTCAATGTTAAATGGTTACTAAAATACTACCAAATAATACCTTAAGCATCTCGTCACAATTATTGCTTACGATTTTCGTACTTGCCAAAAACAACACTACATTAATAAACTTTAAATAAAACATTATTTTATAGTTGTAAAAAATGTATATTAATACAATATATGTAACTTATGTGTTACGTTTAACTCGACTGCAGCTACTATAGTTTTTACCAACCAAAAATACCTAACCACGACATCAGGTGTTTATTTTGCAAACAACGTCATAGTTAAGATAAATAACCAAATATTTGTTCATAATTTTTGTAAATGCAATCTACAAAGATGTCTTAAAATATATCGCTAAACTTTTGCGGCAAAACTTGCCATTGTTTTTAACTGTATTTTAATGTTGTTAAAAAGAACACAATATTTGTTCAATATTTTTGTATATACATTCGAAAACGATATGGCCTAAATCACCAAGCCTACGCGGAAAATCGTGTGGGTCTTTGTGTTTAACCTTATTCAGGTTACCGCTTTGTAGTTAGGTTACATTTTTAGTCGAACAAAATTAATTTAGGAAATATATTTGGTGACAAAATTTAAGCAATGTGTAATCACAAAACTTTAATTTAATAAAAATATATAACATATTAAGGCCCGTTAAGCTTGATGAATGATGATGACTATTTGACTTCCGAAAATTTGTTTTGACTATTGTCAAAAAGTGTCACAAAAAAAATTTTTTTTGTGAGTTTTTAAACTTTGTAAACACAAATGTGGCTAACATTTTTTTCATTATACAAGCATCCGATAATAAAAACAAACAACAATAACTCTACACAGTACATTCGCAAACTTAACAATCCGTCTATGCTATTAGTTCTATCAAATGTCTGCCCGTCCATTCCTCACCATAAAATAACAGAAGCACTTGATATTTCACCTACTTCACATATATAACTGTCATTAAAGCCGGAAAAAATGAAGGATTCGACCTATAAAACACGAAGATGTATACAAACTACCTGCATTTTTAATCACTAATTATAAAGACATACACAATTTGAAACTTTCGTTACGTATGGTACTATGACTTGCTACTTATGTAAATCGACTTCATGCTCTTGCAAGCTAAATACACTACTTATAACTGAGTCAGATGACTCAGAAAATTTAAACATTACATCATCAGCCAGCAATCAAATACAAGTAACTCCTATAGAAACTGATAACCCACCCAAAACCATGAATCTAATCAAAGACAAAAAACTATACTCACAAACTATTAGTCAACCCCCAGCACCTTACTCGTTCTGCCCATCTCCGTCACTAACTCAATCTTTAAGTATGCAAATTACAACTGCAACTGCGAACAACACAAAAACGAATTTAAAAGAAAATCAGGCATTATTGATAACCTATCATTTCAACACCCTCCCAACAGAAGCTGTAAATATATATATCATAAGATAATATCACAAAGTTGCATTTCAACTTTTAATGGCTACAGTTGTAGTAAATTCGTTAATAATTTATAAAAGAATTAACAGGAAATAATACTCAGATATCAACTTTTAGACAGCAAATTATAGAAGAATTAGCCATATCACACAATTTCCAAACCTCTAATTTCATTCTTCCCTATCCTTCTCCATCCTCTCGCCACTATTCTTCCTTCCTTACAATCCTTAACACAATAACGTGAAATCAAAGCTTGAAAATTTCAATACAAATTTTGGATTGGTCCCTCATCATTACAATTAAAAAAGTCAATCAGGTTATGTTGTGGAAAGACGAGGTAAAGTTAGGTTAGGTTTTGGGAGATGATGTCGGTCAAATAATATTGATGAGAGATGATGTCGCGGTTACTCAAGTCGAGAATACGAGGTACTTAGCTTATATTTGGTTTAAGCATTCTTAATTGGCAATAATTAGGATACCTTAGTCTTAATTTTCAATCCAGAACAATGCCGTCCTCTATCTAACTTGCAATCCGGTCGCCAATACAGAATGAACCTCACAATTACTTGACCTAAGAACTATTCCTGATGCGAAATTATTCTGACCGTTGGAATAGTCGTAAGTGATCTAATACAGATCCTACGAGTGACAATCATAGTCCAGCATGTTAATAATATTAGCCCAGATGTCGTCCGTGTTGAAATCAAATTAAACAACACTGTTTTTACACATGGTGTGTACCTAAAATCAATGTCACAACGTCCAACAAGCTGGTGAAGCTAAGAGCATATCTTTGGGATCATAATTTTTTTAAGAAAACAGAATGCGTTAAATGGAATAGTTGGACTTCGACGATCGACCTCGATGAACAGGGAAAGATGAAAAGTGAAGGAATAAAATATTTATATGTTTTTTTTTTAAATAAAATTATCTCGTAAACGGTGGCTCCACAATAGAATAGATGAAATATAATCAGATATAATAAAAAACATTATTATATTATTAAACTGTTCTTATACATTTAGTTGGAGTTAACATATTGGAGTTTCATAGAAAAACCTATACATAAAACGTTATTTTATTTTTAATTAAAAGAATAAATCGTTTAACATTATAAAGAGATATTGTAAATAGTTATAATTGTATGAGGTCGACTATTTTTTTTCCATGGGAGCTAAAATTCCGAATTTGGATTTTACTATTCAATAATTAGTTAGATATTTTAAAAAAAGTAAAAATATAATCGCTTGCCATAAAATTTTGTAAATTAATAATAGATATTCCAGTCACTATAGACAAAATGTTAAACTTTATAACCAAAAACAATTAAAAAATATGTGTGGTTGATACTTCAGAAAGTGACTTTATGTTTTATTCTTTTTCTGCGACGTAACCAGCTCATCTCTCACATTATTTTCATTATTTTTTTTATTGAACTTATATGTTATGATACTTTGCCGTTGATTCGGGTCCTGTGATTTCTCGAAATTAATACCCTCCGGTTTATTGGATGTAAAATAATCGATAACGCGTAGAGTGGTTGGTGACAAAGTCTGTTTGACGGTTTCATAATAAGCGTTCAGTATTTCAAAAACGTCCAATAGTTTTGTTTTCAAGGCGAACAATTCTAGATGGTCTGGCATCGAAAACTCCTTCGTCATCGTGGAATAATCCATTTGTTTCAAGTCTAATTGTGTGGTGTAGAAATTGTATTGTACCAACAGACGATTAACGAAAGCGTTGAACGGAGTCTGGTCGGCGTTTTCGCTATTGGCGAGATAATTTTCTATTTCTCCGATGAGATCTGTATTGTCTTCGGAGATGTTTAAATCACGGAAAATGACCTTGGCCAGAGGTAAAGGAATCTGCATCAACGCCATAAAATCGGTGGATTTGACCGGCTCTGCTGTGCTAGACCAAATGGCCTCCAAATAGTGGAAGTGCAATAGTAGAACGTAATACGTGACCATCATAACGAGATTGACGATGGCATCTTTGTACCGAATTATTATGTACAAAGAATTCTTCCAATTCAACCCAACGTCGTCGTAGACCGACCGCAAATACTTGTCGTCGTACAACGGAAACCAGCTAACGGGAGGAGTGATTTTCGTGTAGTTCCTATCGGCATCCCAAAAGAATTGGAAAATGTTGAATCGTTCTTCGCCGTGGTACAGATTCATCATAAAGCCTTCGTTGCCATCAGACAACATTAACTTAGACAAGAGCCGATTGTTGTAGGCTGCAAAATTGTACGATCCTATTTTGACCAACTCGTGGTAGGTGCGGATACGTTCGGTCATGAGCATGTCTTTGTTGCATCTTTTCATCACACGTAAAATATGCAAAAGTGATCTGTTGAACAGGCTATCATTCATGTCCATTTTACCGTGTCTGATGGCGTCTATAACAATTACCGTATGCCACACCTCTCGGGTAGTAAAACTCTTCGACGCGTACATAACCGACAGAATGCGGTGCGCGCATTTTATGTATCGAAGCAAGTAAAAGTTCTTTTCATCA